TGGCTATGGTGGACACCGTCTTCATCACCTTGTTGGGCGCTGCATTTGGAAGGCCCCAGTTGGGGTAGTGCCGCACCAAGGAAGCTCGAGGCAGAGTCAGGCATGGCGGACCAGTCAGCAGCATCATAGCTGCTTTGGGTTGTCCTTTGGACAGGAGGGCAGGGCCCTCAGTAGTCCGCCATAGCCTATGCATGAGAGAGGAGGCAGAAGGAGGGAAGCCATARCTTTGGTGGACTTGTTGTTGTTGTTGTTGTTGAGTCAGCAGTAAGAGGGAACTTCGGATATTGATTCTGGTTCATCCATTCATTGTTATTATTATTATTGAGAGAAGAATAAGATTGGCGAAGTGAAGGAGGAGGAGGAAGGTGGAGAGAGAAGGGGGAATTGTCAGTGGTCTTGCTGGTGTACATCTTCTTTTTCTTCTTCTTCTTCTTCTTCTTCTTCTTTTTCTCTCCTCTGGTCTCTATCTCTTTGCAAGTGCTTTCATTTCTTTCGCAAATGGGTGTCATTGTCTTTCATTGTGAATTTGCACTTTGGAAATGACCAGGATCGTAACACTAGCGACTTTGGCCTCAAGAGCCAAATATCTTAACCACTACAGCAAGGAGTCGAGGACATGGTGTTGAAATGTGAAACCATACCAGATTGATATCCATCCGACCCCTGCAAGGCTGTAGTGTCCAAGACTCAAGTCAACACACACCTCATACAACACCACATGGACATGGCAATTCTCGCACACTTTGCTCCAGTCAGCACAACCCTACCAGGGTACCACTGGTACTCCCGTCCCATCCACCAACACGGGAACATATTACCTGGCGGTTAATGGGTGCTTCCACAGCGGCTAAGTGTACCCGCACGTCTTAGCTGAAGTGCCCCCCCCGTGCAAGCACGGATTCGAACCGGCGACCTTGGCCTCAAGAGCCAAGTATCTTAACTTAGACTATTTGTGCAAGCACGGATTCGAACCGGCGACCTTGGCCTCAAGAGCCAAGTATCTTAACTTAGACTATTTGTGCAAGCACGGATTCGAATCGGCGACCTTGGCCTCAAGAGCCAAGTATCTTAACTTAGGCTATTTAAGAAACAACAATCACGAACAAAGGCGCAAATCCAAATTTTAATTTGCGATCTCAGCAGAAGAAGATCAATAAAGTCGTCTCCTCCCCAGAGTGGAAACGCTGAGTGAAGGAGACCTGAGTGTAAMCACTGTAACGACAACTTAGGTACTCYTTACGGCTCCATATCTAAAAACCAAGCGCATCAAAACAACGTCACGGTGACCATCTTATTTACATATAGCGTGTGATAGCACATCGCCCCACTGGCAACTCTATCAGCAGGTGGCATTAGACAAACTCCATAGACGCCATGTGCAGCTGTGGCCGTCGTGGGTGCCAGGTGGCCCAGGCCCTACGTTTTTGAAACCGTGGGGGCAATAGTGCTGTCACTGCTGTACTAGCATCTTTGGCCCCAGCGAAATGATTCTGATATTGTGAGAGCTGCAAAAGATCCCTCTCTTCATCAAGTGCTTTATCGAACACAACCTCWGACACCTTTGACACATAATATACTTGGATTGGCAGCAGAGTGTTTTTTTTGTTTTACCTCAAACCAACTGCTTCACGAACTGGGGTTTTTGTCATCGTTGACAGCTGCACTGGGGACATCTRCTTCGGACCCTTCTTGAAGGAGCTGTGAAGTCCTGAGTTCGTGAGCTTTTCGGTCTCGCTCCACTACTATCTGCTGCACGATTTYGGATAGTGGGACACARCTCCACTTACTATCCGAAAYGTAATCACCGTACAGTTGTCAGATGACGCCCTCCAAATTCACCATACGATCCCGTATAGTTCCCAGCCTGCAGATGGCGCCCTCCAAATTCACCATACGATCCCGTATAGTTCCCAGCCTTCAAACGTCGTCACTCGGAGGGTGGTCGAAGCCTCGAAGGAGGTCGGCGTTGCACCCCGAAATCGTATGGAGCACCTGGAGTCTGGGCTGACAAATTGCTGTCGTGTAGTGTAGTGCTGTACAGGTATTTTGTAGTGAACTCAGGAATTGGAGACTTGTATAGCAGATAGGAAGTGGAGCGACGCCACGGCTTATACAATTTTTTTAGCTCTGACAGCTATACGGCCGCTATACAAAGTTCTGTATAGCGGACAGTAGTGGCACTACTATCCGGTCCACTACTATCTGCTGTACAATTTCGGATAGTGGGGCACCGCTCCAGTACTATCTGAAATGTACCTTCGGAAATCACCGTATAGTTGCCAGCTGGCACCCTCCAAATTCACCGTACGGCGTACGATCCCGTATAGTTCCCAGCCCACAAAAGTCGTTACTCGGAGAGTGGTAGAAGGAGGTAGGAGTTCTACAGCGAAATGGTATGGAGCACCTGGAGTCTGGGCGGACAAATTGCTGTCTTCAGTGTCTTGTAGTGCTGTAAGGGTGTTTTGTAGTGAAGTGAGGAAATGGAGACTCTTATAGTGGAGCGACGCCCGGTTTTATAGTTTTTTTCTTAGCTCTGACAGCTATAGTTTTTTTCTTAGCTCTGACAGCTATACGGCCGCTATACGAAATTGTGTACAGCAGATTGTTACTTAGTGGAGCGAGACGGTCACCTTTTTTCACCTGAAAAACTGTTTTTCTGGGAGCGTTGGTTTTCTGGGCTGTAGCTGAGTCTCTTATTTTTGTTTCTGTTTTATGGCCGTGGATAACACGTTGTAGTTTACTTGCAGTTTTATTTGTAGCCTTACGTTTGTTGAGCTTCTGTAGTCCTTTTTGTATTACTTGCAGTTTTACTCGTAGTCTCACTCTTGTTGAGCTTCTGTTGTCCTTTTTGTATTCTCTGTTTAGGACGTCTTTTGTGCCAGCAGCTTTTATTATTGGGTGGCCTCCTCGGCCCTCCTGCTGTTTCTTTTGGCCTCCTTCACAGGGGAGAGGCTCCTCCGAATGAGCCGGTATGGAGACCGGCGGCCCCGGAATTTGCCTCGGGCACTGGGCTCTAACAAAAAAGGGAGACCATGTTTTTTTTTTTTTTTTTTTTTTTTTTTTTTTGAAGTTTATTATACAAGCCATGAAGCGGAACTGGGTCTTGGCGGACGCAGAACTTACCCAAGAGAAGGCTAGTTTCGATACGCAGCTGGCCGTATCGAGAACAGGACGCTCTTCTTTAGAATCAACGGGGGACGTCCACTGCATCTCCTTCCTGGTGGCCATAGCTGGATCTTGGTTCTCCTCCTTGCTCTCGCTCTCGCCCTCGCCATTGCGATCCGGACCCGGTTCTCGTCCCGGTCCTCGTCCCGGCCCCTTTCCCGGCCCTCCTCCTCCTCGATCCCCGTTCGACTTCAGGTCCTCGTTCGGCACAGCATACCTTCCTCCACGTTGCCGTCCTTGCCCGCTCCCCCCAGCCAACCCCTTTCTGTCATCTCGGATCTGGACTCCAAGCGTATGTGGCCCCCCCTGGGTCCCCAATACCGTGCCCCTCTGAGGTGCCGCTGCTGAATCCCGCCGTGCAAACACCTGGACATCCTCCCTTTCGTCAATCTCGGACTGGCCAGGGCGACTCCTATGTGCAGGTCGCGACGCTGCCATTGGTCCACCAGGCAGGACGCCTCCTCGGACCCTTTCCATACCGTCTGATGACTCCTCAGACTCTGCTTCAGCAAGTTCAGATCCCTCTCTCAGCCTGTCTCGGATTGAAGTGGATATCCTGTCCGCCTGCCCCCCTCCTCCTCCTCCTTGGGTACGCCTCCCTCGTTGCAGTTCCCGAGACAACTGGAAAGCAACGCCGGCCGAATCTCGTCCTCCTCGGAGTCCTCGCCCTCCTGACACCTCTGGTCCTCCCCGTGGCGTCTGCCCCGCTTGTTCTTGGTGCCCACGGAGCTCAGCAGCAGCGCCCGTGAAATCCCGTTCTCCTCCCGCTCCTCCTCTTGACTTCTGTCTCTCTCCCTGGTTCATAGGGAACATGAAAGCAACGTCCATTTCTCTCCCTCTTCCCCCTCCCCCTCCCCCTCCCCCTCCCCCTTCCCCTCCCCCTTCCCCTTCTAGCTCTCGTAGCTCGTTGTTTCGGGCGAGCTCGAAAGCGAAGTCCATGGACCTTACTCTCTCTCTCTCTCTCTCTCGCGCTGCTTCCTGCAACCGTGGGGGCCAGAAGTCAATGCCCTTCCACCCGAGCTTCCTGCCCGGAGAGGAGGAACGCTCCTCGTCCTCTTCCTCGCCCTCTTCATCTCCCTCTTCCTCGTCCTCTGCTGCAACCAGCGAAGGCGTCTCAAGCCCTACGTAGCCTGGTCTGGCGGGCGGCAGTCGGGAGCTTCCGAGTCGCACACCGAAGGACGCCCGCTCCCTCACGTCTGTGGCATCCTCGTGAAGGTCTGCCTCCGACTCCTCGCGTTTCCACTCTATGTCATCGGCAGTGGGGAGGTTATGGTGGACGTTTCTATCAACGATCACTTCGATCTCTGGTGGCCGCTCTTGCTGAGCCGCTGCCGGCCTTCGGTCGTCCGCCATCATGTCGGCCGCCCTCGTGTTCATTGACAACTGACTGGCTTCGGATCGAGACTCCATAGCCTCTTCCCCCTCACTTCCCCGGCCAGGGAGCGTATTTCCCTGAAACGGCCCTCGTAGGCTTGGGGGGGATTGATCACGACGCTCAGCCATATTCTTCCAAGCGGTTGATGTTCCTCTGCTCAGTCTGCTGCTCCCACTTCACAGCAAATTTCTCTCTCTCTCTCTCTCTCTCTCTCTCTCTCTCTCTCTCTCTCTCTCTCTCTCTCTCTCTCT